AACCATTCATAAAACTAGCTGATCACACCTTAATATAACCATTCATAAAACTAGCTGATCACACCTTAATATAACCATTCATAAAACTAGCTGATCACACCTTAATATAACCATTCATAAAACTAGCTGATCACACCTTAATATAACCATTCATAAAACTAGATGATCACACCTTAATATAACCATTCATAAAACTAGCTGATCACACCTTAATATAACCATTCATAAAACTAGCTGATCACACCTTAATATAACCATTCATAACACTAGCTGATCACACCTGAAGATCCCCCCTCCCCTGCCCAAAAAGTTTAAAATTTAAAAATAAAATAAAAATAAAATATTTCTTATATCGTTTTCAGATTTGGGCCCATAGACGGAGTTTACACCCTCTCCGTCAACTCTGCTGTGGTCATCTTCACGGACATCGAAGCAGCGAGGGAGGCCGTCATGTGCCCATGCCTTGGGTATCCCTGGGATCGCCTGATCGCCACGTGGATTGAGCCCCGGATGTACAACTACGGCTTCTACTGCAAATATCTAGCCATTGAAGCCCCCAGGCTACGGTTTAGAGTCGATGATATGTGATCATCTGTAAACCTATGGGCTTGTGTACAAAGAAATAGGAACAAGACAAAACTATTTACATCAAGAAAACAATAAAATTTGAATATAATTACTCGGTAACTAAATAAATGAATTGTTTGCTTTATTATATTGTTTATAAATAAGGGGAGGGGGGAATACTCAACTAAGCAAATTCAGAAGTTGTTAAAATAAATCATTTGAAATATGTCATGAAAGAGGAACATCCCATCTCTGACAATGAAATGCTTGTCACAAAGAGATGACATGCAAGGATAAGGCAAGCCACGTGTTGAAACTTATAACACATGCTCTCGTGTTGATCAAATCTTCCCCATTCATGTTCTTCCCGTCTCAATGTTGATCAAATCTTCCCCATTCATATTCTTCCCGTCTCAATGTTGATCAAATCTTCCCCATTCATATTCTTCCCGTCTCAATGTTGATCACATCTTCCCCATTCATGTTCTTTCCGTCTCAAAGTTGATCACATCTTCCCCATTCATGTTTTTCCCGTCTCAATGTTGATCAAATCTTCCCCATTCATGTTCATCGCATCTCGAATGTTGTTTGCGAGTATTCTTCTCGTTGGCATTATTTACCCAAATTTGTGAATGTGAAGTGAAAACAAAGGATCTATTTATCTCTGTTCTGTTCTGATGTATCCATCTCATTCCACCTGTTGTCTTTTCTCCGACACTTTCAGTGGAGGTACTTATCTGTGTTGTACATGCCTATGTTACCTCTGTTACCTCTGTTACCATGTGCACCTCAATTGTAAAAATTACGGAAGTTACAGTAAAAGGGCATTATTAAGACAAGGGCTTTTATGATCGGATCTGTATTTGAAGTTGACACGAAAGGAGATTGAGGAAAGAACAGTATGTGTAAAATGCTAGGAAATATGAGTGTCAACATTTTTTAATAAGTCATTGTTATAAAGGTAATCTCAGACTGAATCCCATATTTACCTACCAGTTTAGTATGAGAGTTTTAATTCACAAACATATCTAATTGGTATAGTGAAAAAAACAAACAAACCCAACAAAACAAAAAACAAAACAAAGAAGCACAACTTTATCTATTTAATTGAATCAAATCTGATCAAAAATACGTAATGGACAATGCAAGAGATGATATCTTAGCCGTAATGTCTTTAGTCAAATATGAGGACGTGTGAGTAGAAAAGTCAGGATCTCCAACTCTCGCCTCAGTCGATGAGAAACCGAGTCCTTCATGACAAACAGTGGTTGAATGACCGTGGCACTATAAATCAGATCCCCACCAGTGAGACACATGGCACAAACAAAAGAACATTTAGAAGCCTTACAACGAGAAAGAAGGCGCATTAAACACAAAGAAAGAACACAAATTCAGCAATGGCTTATTAACGAAATTCACTATGATCCTTGTATAAATCAAATTATTCCTGGCATATCTGAAGACGCAGACGCTTGGAGCTAACGTTGCTATGATCATCGAATGCCTCGCGTGGCCTGGGAGCTGTTTTGACAGGTAGGTCATGCTGACCCTTCAGGAGGCACTCTTGTCGCTCTTCTTGCAGCAGATACAGAAGACGGCCACAAAGGAGCCCAGGATGGTGGTGAAGAGGCCGCCGTACGAGATGTACACTTTGATCTTCTTGTTGACCTCGTCCACAACAATGACTTTGATTGATGCAATTCTTTGGTTCTTACACCAGCAGCTGAAACAAGAGCGATGGAATTGTGTGGGATTTACTGTTTAAACTGTGATGAAAATATCAAGATTTTTTAAAACTTTTTATTTGCAACAGTGAATGGTATTGTCAAATGAGACGTGTAGCATCATTTTCCCAATATTCTAATTCTGCATTGCCCTAGTCTGTTGCTGTCTAGATTGTAATATTCTATTCAAAGATAACTACAAGATTGGATCCACTACCGAACGCATCATATGTCAATGTCTCTGACAAGATTGATGTTACTTAATTAATGCATTTTTGTCGCACCCCTACCCATCAAAAAAAACTTATTTATGGAATCTCATGATATTTAAATTGTAAAATCAAATTTTATATAAATCTAAACGTTATTATCCTAAAAATGACATCTCTCGGGTTTAAAATTAAATCTGTTAATCTATGGGGCACTTCATTTGATTGATCATTTTAAATTGTATGTTAGAGCTGTAAGTAATTCTATATTGAGTTGATTTTATCGTTAAAATACCCGAACAGAAGTTATGACATTAAAATAGTTTGATTGGCTTGTAAATAGCGGAACAAAGTTTAGTAATAATAATAATAATAATAATGCTTATTTGAAAACCACGCTTCATCCCCAAAGGCTCGAAGCATGGTACAAAGTCAACCATATGAAAAGAGAAATGAAAAAATCTATATTTTACCACATTGAAATACAAAACGCATCATTACAAAAGTCACATACGAGACTACCCATTCTAAATAGTTCATCCCTTGCAACCATAAACAACATAAAACAAAGATCTTGATCTCATGGATAGAGATGTAACTTTTTACAATATTGTTTGTACAAACAATACACGGTTATTTAAGCAACACGATGACAAACATTTGGATTCAGTGAACAAATCTTCCCAAAGAGAAATAAAAACAATCATTGTAAGATATATAGGTGCTACGGTGAGACGAGTGATTATTTTCTGTTCGCAAAGTTGTCATTAAGGTCTTACAATCAAAGAAATTTTTTTTTTTTCCTTCTAATGTTGTTATATCAGTCTTACATAATTTTTCGTCAAATCCCGTGGCCAGAACGTACTAGGCTTAATGACAGTTATACTATAATGATACCAAAATCATTGAAATTAAATATAAGGTCCAATCTTTTTTATGAATGCCATCATAGAGAGCCACTGTGTTCTGTGTCAAGAGAACAGCTATGTCCTGTACCAAGATATGAACTATGCTATGTACCAAGAGAGCATCTATGTTCTGTACCAAGAGAGCAAATATGTTCCGTACCAAAAGTGCCACTATGCTCTGTACCAAGAGTGCCACTATGTTCTGCGCAAAGGGTTACTCATTTTTATCAACGTGTAGTTGAACAAGACCCTTAAATAATTTGAGGACATCGCAAACGAGGTCCGGAAGATATGTGGTTTAGGAAATACATAGATGAAAATAGAGTTGAATTGACGTAGGGATATTGAAACCAATATGAACAAGTACTAGTAAGTACTTCTCATGGAATCCTTGGAGCAACAGTAAAAGACGTAGAGTGTGGAGCATACTGAGAAGGGGCATTGAGAATGATAGACATCGCAAAATGTGCAATTTGTTGGATGAATAGCTCAAACTCAATGTAAAAATTAATTTGAAATAAAAATTGCTTGGACTACGCACTACTCACTAAGAGCACCTGAGGCAGAGATGAAAAAAGAGGACGATAGCGCACCGAAAATATGCCTCTTTGAACGGAAGTAAAACTAGAAACAAGACGCCATTGATCGGAAAGTCACAACACATGAATCGATGACGTAAACAGGAGAACAAGTAGAGTTACTCTGGAGAAAAAAAAACAACAACAATAAATACCACGTAAAGCTAGCAACCGAGCCCACTTTCTATGACGACCAAGGCAACGCGGGAACGAGAATCATTTTGGATGACGCAGAGCTTGACAACACATGGGCATAAAAGCAACGCCTGCCATGTTGAATACAGAGATCTGTCGTTTCCGTCCATTCTTGCGGTCCGACGACTGACGAGCTCCGTTCCATTTTGACATCTCTGGTCCGGATTTCTCAGAAATTCTTTCAATTCAACTCAATTTTTCTTAAAGTAACGCAACCAAGGTTTGTTTTTTAGGTCAAAACACAAAGTGCCATCAACATGAGAGAGGTCATCAACATACATCTAGGCCAGGGAGGCGTACAGATTGGAAACGCTTGCTGGGAGCTTTTCTGTCTTGAGCACGGCATACAGCCAGACGGACAGATGCCTTCAGACAAAACGATTGGCGGTGGGGATGATTCGTTCAACACTTTTTTCAGCGAAACGGGCGCGGGGAAACACGTACCACGAGTTGTGATGCTGGATCTCGAGCCAACGGTCATTGACGAGGTTAGAACAGGGACTTACAGACAGCTTTTCCACCCGGAGCAGCTCATATCGGGTAAGTTTGATTTGAAGTGTTGTTTGTAGTTAGAACAGGGACGTACAGGCAGCTTTTCCCAACATGAGCAGTTTAATTCAGGTAACGTCAACTTAAACTTGTGTGCCTGTAGACTTTTAGATTGGACTATTGATCGGCAGTTAATTTTTACCCATTTAGCCTCCTCCCCGATATCTGTCTTCAAATGGCATTGAATTGCAAGATAAAGCTAGATTGTACTGCCACATCTGTACTAATGAAGTAAGAGTTTAGTAACATGAAGTCAAGAATCTGTCGCTTAAAAAGATGACTATTGTCCTATCAACTGGAAAGGGATTCTCATGTTTTCACCGTTTGTTTGGGCTCGTCAGAGACACGTCTTATGTATCGAAGGCTACACGAAGGTACATTCGGTCAATGTAAATGTTTACGCCAGCCCTCTTATTTTTAGTCGTACCTTTTGTCAAAGAAATATAATGTACATGTTTTTGGGGGTTATAATTCGTTGTTTGAATTGTATAATTCATTTGTTTAAAAAGCCAAATTAAATGATCATTAAAAAAAGAATTAAAGACGCAAGGAGATAAAATGCTTGAATACACTTCTCAAAGTTAATGAAACGAGTAGGTTTATCATACTATGGTTAGCAAAAATGTCAAGACTTTTCCAGGGCAATATTGATTTCTTATATTTTTGTTTTTTCTGCAAACTGTTTGTATATGTATAGTAGTGCCTTAAGTGAAATTAAAATTAAATGGTGTTGCTACTCTTATTAATTCTATGTTTTATTCCCTCAAAACTTTCAGCTAAAGAAGACGCAGCCAATAATTATGCACGCGGCCACTACACAGTTGGCAAAGAAGTCGTCGACCTCGTGCTGGACAGGATACGGAAACTGGCGGACATGTGCACAGGTCTCCAAGGTTTCTTCGTCTATCACAGTTTCGGCGGAGGAACGGGCTCCGGCTTCACGTCGCTCCTCATGGAGCGACTCTCCGTTGATTACGGCAAGAAATCGAAACTGGAGTTCGCCATTTACCCAGCACCGCAGATCAGCACCGCCATCGTGGAGCCGTACAACTCGATACTGGTGACCCACACCACGCTGGAGCACTCGGACTGCGCATTCATCTTCGACAACGAGGCGATGTACGACGTGTGCCGACGGAATCTAGACATCGAGCGTCCGACGTACACCAACTTAAATCGCATACTCGCGCAAGCGGTCTCGTCGATAACGGCTCCGTTACGATTCGACGGGGCTCTGAACGTCGACCTGGTAGAATTTCAGACCAACTTGGTGCCCTACCCTCGCATTCACTTCCCGGCAATAATTCACTCGCCACTCGTCTCGGCTGAAAAGGCGTACCACGAGCAGCTGACGGTCGCTGAGATCACCAACGCGTGTTTCGAGCCGGCTAATCAGCTCGTCAAGTGCGACCCCCGTCACGGGAAGTACATGTCGTGCTGCCTGCTGTACCGCGGGGACGTGGTGCCCAAGGACGTGAACGCTGCCATTGCGACGATCAAGACGAAGCGAACGATACAGTTTGTGGACTGGTGCCCCACGGGCTTCAAAGTGGGCATCAACTACCAGCCGCCGACAGTGGTGCCTGGGGGAGACCTGGCGAAGGTTCAACGAGCCGTGTGTATGCTGGCGAGCACGACCGCCATCGCCGAGGCTTTTGCCCGACTCGACCACAAATTCGATCTCCTTTACGCGAAAAGAGCATTCGTTCATTGGTCAGTACAGTTATCCGAAACAGTAGTCATGCACAGTTACTGTTGGGGAATACCATGTTATTTCATTACTTTAGCAGGCTTTTATCTGTTTGAATCCATATGGACGTGTATGTTTTGTTATGTTGATTTATGACTTCTTAGCATGCTTATAGCTACATTTCTGGTCTAAATGGATGTTTTTTACCCGATGTATTGTCACACATCAAATGTTATGGGCACCAAACTAAATTTTGACAGAATTAGAAAATATTTTATTATGAAAATGGTGCACAATTTTGTTTCCCTTAAACATATTTTTTTCTTGTAAAAACAGGAATACATTTTTATGTTCTTTTGTTTCCAACAGGTATGTCGGAGAAGGAATGGAAGAGGGTGAGTTTGGCGAGGCGAGAGAAGATCTAGCAGCCCTGGAAAAAGATTACGAAGAGGTCGGGCTGGACTCTGTTGCCGGAGAGGAAGAAGGAGGAGAGGAAGAGTTTTAAGTGAGTTCCTCGGATGTCCTCTCCTAAACGGAACGTTTCATTACGTTGGGACTGCTAGAGACTGGGTGGCGAAAAGAATTTCATTCGCTGTCTCCAGGCCTGGCAGTTCTTGGTGGCTGTTTGGAGAGCTCGGCTAATTAAACATCATCATAGACCGTGAGTTTAACATGTTTATTAGCGTTTATGCCGCGTGTATATGACGTACATGTGGCGTATACGTGGATTATATGTGGCGTGTCTGTGCCGTATATATGGCATGCCTGTGGCGTGTCTGTGGCGTGTATACGGCGTGCTTTAGGCGTGTATAAGGCGTGCATGTGGCGTGTTTGTGGCGTTTATGTAACGTAGTTGCCTCTTCTGAGGTGATTGAAAACCAAAATATGATTACTGTCCCGAGCACCGTTTCCCAAAGTGTAGTACGCGTACCCCTGGGGGTACAGAAAGAGTGATGGGGATACGCGCTGCAAAAGAAAATAAACAAACATATGCAACAATTTTATTTTTAAAGAGGGGTACTCAAGTGTTACGAAAGTTTCGGGAACACTGCTGTAGAGGCCCAATAGAAATCAGAACATCCATGAATAACGAAGGCAAAAAAAGTATGAATTATATAGCATAAATATGTGATAATATTTACGCGAGTATACGCAAAACTATACATTGCTTAGTGTTTGTCATTAAAATGTGAAATTCTAATGTCGTACGACAAATAAATTAATGGAACGTTTCAGTTTTTGCACTACTTTCTATTTCTTGTTGTTTCTTCATTTGTCCTGTCTTCTGAGGCAGCCTCTTAGCGGAAACTTTCTTTTTTCATTGTCTTGTCTTTATATTGTAAGAGACCTTGCTTACTATCTGACAAACTTCATCGCTGGTACTCAATAAGTAAACAACTCCGGTGATACATTTGATTATTAAACTCGTGTTCTTTATTATATCTGTCACTTGCTTACACTATCACTCATCTCCCAACTCTGACTTCTCCCTGCTCTGACTTCTCCCTGCTCTCTCTCCTAGTCCGTCCACCTTCTTCCCTATTTATACCTCCCAGTCCAGATTATACCCCGCCCCCTTCTCAATTGTCGGTCTAGACGTCCCAGGTAAATGCCCTGGTCCGATGGATGGTCGTGTCTGGGTGTCAGACGGCCGTAATTGGTCAGGCGTTTGATCCTTGGGTCCGTCGTGCTCCACAAGCTTGATCCTTCGGTCAGACGGATTACGTCAGGCGCGGTCCGACTCTCCACAAGCTTGGGTGGTCAGCGAACTCTCCACACTATTTCAAGCTTCCATATACCTTGTTCCAAAATTTTCTTCTCGTATAATTGCTCTTATAAGAAATACATTACGTAGCAATGGTATATACCGAATGCCTTTCTTTTAAAACTTGAATATTTAAAGCTGGACCTTTTTTGATCCAATTGGCTGGATTACACATCATGATTAGAAATGATTAATTTAGGAAGGACTGAAATGACGTCCTGTAGTTATATGGTTATATGATGCGAAGCATAAAGTTTTAAAAAAAAAATATCACTTAACAATTTAATATAATTTCTCCACATTTTTTTTTATTTCAGACAGGGCATAAAGTGCCAGGATGTAGAAAAAACCTCACAGAGTACACGGGATTTTCAGGGACAAGTTAAGAGACATTATTTAGGCTATTAAGAGATGAGTCATGGGGAGATCCACCTATAGACCAGCGTCGTGTGTTTGGCCTTGTCATTGTGTACATCTGAACACTTGGATGAGCGAGGTGGCCTTGTCATTGTGTACATCTGAACACTAGGATGAGCGAGGTGGCCTTGTCATTGTGTACATCGGATGAGCGAGGAGATGAGCACTACCGAATTTCATGTCCAGCTGAACGCAATGTTACCGAAATAACGTTCTTGTTGAGTCGGTCCAATCCAAAACTCTACATATCACTAATATCAGTTATACCAATATGTTTCCCATTATGAGCGGAATGTGGATGTGGTATTTAACCTTTCACAACATTATACACTGAACAACACATTTTAGAGACAAATAAATCGATCATATCACCAATAAAACCGTTGTTCGTATTAAAATGATTGTTAATGAACCATTTAATTCATGTATCAGCACCCCCAACCCTACCAATATAACCCTCCCCCCCCCAAAAAAAAAAACAAAAAAAAAACTTGTTAAATGAGGCTCAAAATCGGTGGTTGCGCTTTGGAATAGTGTCCTGCCATAGAAAAGCTTGTGACGCAGCGTTGCATATCCACTTCTGACACGGCGTTTTAGGGGACAGTCGTCTGTATACAAGAGGTCCCTGATGGTGTCTGTCAGGACCTTCGTTTTGGCATGTAGCCTTTTGGTGCTAATAGATAACCGTCAGTTTGAAATCTGAGGCAAAATCCAGGGTATCTCTCTTTCTCTCTCTCTGAAGGAATCTGTCGGCATTGCCGAAAACATGAGGCTGAAAAGTGTTGAGGAAAACTCACAGCCTTGTTTCACGCCGTTTGTTATAGGAAATGGTTTGGACGTCTCTCCATTATCCCGAACTCTAGCCTAGAAACCATCATGGAATAGACGTACCATTGACACGAACTTAATGGTTCATCCATATTTGGACATGATCTTCCAAAGGCACCCTCTCTACTGCCCAAAGCTTTGGTCTGGTCTACAGCGGTAGAGAAGATTTAACAATTTTTGTTCTATTTTTCCTTTAGCTGTCTGACCGCAAACACCATATGGATTGTTCCTCGTTCCTTCCGGAAGCCACATTGACTTTATGGCAGTAGTCCATTCTCAAGATGTCTGTTAAGACGATTTAGCAATATTCTTGCTACTATTGTAATATCTTGCCTTTAATTAAGAGCAGTGATGTGCCACGGTGGTTGTCACATGATTGACGGTTACCTTAACGCTTGTACAAATGAACAATAGATGCATCTTTGAAGTGCAATGGTCTCTTGCTGCCACATAAGTATGAACAACTGGTCAAGCCTTTCAGACAGAGCTGTCCCCCGTTCTTTGTATACTTCAGACTCTTATTGAGTCAACACCTGGTGCTTTGCCGTTTGAGAGAAGGCAAAAAAAGTATAGCATGTTGGGTCTCAGTTAAAGTATGGGGGGTCTTCCAGCTCTTGATTAAACTGCACATGCATTAGACGATTCATGGCTTTATAATTGATGGAAGAAGGTCGATTCATGATTTTGTCAATGTGAAGTGGGGCCGCAGACAATTTTCAGACTGGAGTAGAAATTGTGTAGGTCTTTTCGGTGTGCATACCCCTGGATCTCGTCGACCTTGTCGCTCAACCAGGTATTCTGCGTTTGAAGCAATATTAGCTGCACCGTTCTTCTTAGACTGTGATACGCATCTTTCATTGGGACTGACCTCGGGTTGTACGCAGCTTTCATTGGGACTGACCTCGGGTTGTTTAGGAAAGTGTGGTGGAGACGATGTTTTTCCTTCGAGCAGTAGGTTGATAACATCACAGTTATCAAACAAGTCCTGATGTTTTATCGAGCATGGCCCCAGACTCTCCATGGCGGTGTTGTACAACATAGTTTTATGTGATGCCCAGTTTGCTTCAACGTTGTCATTTTCCAAATAGTGTCGACTTCATACTTTAGTCCGGAGCGTCCACAAATGATTTCTTAATGTTGGGGCTTTTCAACTTTGTTGCAATTAGACATTTAGGGGTTTTCTTTCCCTTTGGGCTTCTTTTGGGTTGTATGTGTAGCTTGAGCTTGGTGATGATAAGACGATTTGAAACGCCTGCTATGACAGAGTGAAGGTCCTCGTAGTCCTTGGTTTTTACTTCATCTAGGGTTGTCATTGTTGGAGTATAGCAGCGTATAATGGTGTTTTTTTTTAAATTCCAGATACGAAAGGGAGTTTCATTGTCATTATCCTATCGTTGACTCCTTTTGGATGACCAGCAAGCATTTTTAACTTTGTAGTTTTGATTAAAAAATAACAAAACCAGCCTCGCGACGCAACCCAGTGCTCCTTTCACAAAGTTCGCCCTCTCCTGCATGCCGGGTCTCGCTAAGGGCTGAGATGTCCACCTTGCTAGTTCATTTTTCCTATAAGGGCTGTTCTTCTCTGAGGTCTGTCCGCGTCGTCTTTGTCCTGTAGAGTGCTCACATTCAAAGCTCCACTTTTTAGTGGGATTGTTTTTACCTTTGAGTTTCAACCGCACAGATAGGGAACCCCCCCCCCCCCCATGTGGTGTGCTGGCATAGATAGGGTCCCCTCCAACCGCGGTAGGCTGTCATAGATACCCCCCCCCCAAACTGCCGTAGGCTGGCATAGATAGGTTCCCCTTCAACTGCATTAGGCTGGCATAAGATAGGGTCCCCTCCAATTGCGGTTGGCTGGCATAGATAGGGTACCCTCCAACTGCCGTAGGCTGGCATAGATAAAGTCCCCTCCAACTGCCGTAGGCTGGCATAGATAGGGTCCCCTCCAACTGCGGTAGGCTGGAATAGATAGGGTCCCCTCCAACTGCGGCAGGCTAGATGGGGAAGAGTGGATCAGACCATGTTTAAGGCACCTTCTCTAGCCCCTTCCTTCCTCATGCCGTGTCCCTATCGACGGCTGCTCAGTCGCTCAGGGGCTGCCTGACACCCTTGCTGCTCCTTTTCAGTGGTAAATAAGTCCACAGTATAAAAATTACATGACGGTCAGGAGGTAAGTGTATTTAAGATCCCTACCACATGGTATTTGGTAATCAATGAAAAGCGTTATTTCTCAGAATAAATACAGCTTCATGGCACTTACGAAAGTTACCGTACACTTCGATCAAGGTCATATGTTATATTTTTGTCCCTATTGTACTTTCCTCACCCCGATGGAAAAGTTGGCTAACGAATCATCGTAATAATTATCTTAATTTGCTAAATAATAGAAGATAAGATTGTTTTATTATTAATACAAAAAAATGGAAATGTTTTATGACGTTGGAGTAAAATATGATCTTGTGAACTGAACATTACACCATACAACATATGATGGAAAAAAAACGGTATAATCTTGTACACGTTTTATTTGATGGAATAGATACACACAATTAGCCCTGCCTACAAATGGCGAGCATGTACCGTTATAATTTGTTTAAACATTATTTACTGTTACAATTTTATTAGTTGCAAGTCACATAAATACATCACTCTCTATGAGCTAGTCATGGAATCTACAGCTTGGTCCAAACTTGGTTGGAGCCGTTTCCTGATGTCGTTGTGTCTACTTCGTTTGAACAATTCGATGTTTTGTTTTTGCATTATAGAATGAGGGAAATGACCGAACCGATCTTGAAATAGTTCCAAGTTTGATTCGTCACTTAGTGGATTAACAAAGATTGTGGAATATGTCATAGAATTACAAGTTCTCCTGATTTCTGATTGGGGCTGGTCATCCGAGACAGATTAACTTATGGTCTGAAAGTATTGACTTCAAGAAACTTAATCCTTTAACATTGACAACGTTATGATCTAGAAATGTCAATGCCTCGAGGCGTGATTTGAATGGTAAGTAACATTAAGACGTCAAGGACTTGTTTATGTGATTAGAACTCTTCGATACCCTCCTCGGCTTCGTCTGCCACCGAATCCAAAGCAACTTCGTCATAATCTTTCTCTAGGGCAGCAAGATCCTCACGTGCCTCTGTGAATTCACCTTCCTCCATTCCCTCACCTACATACCTGGAGAAAAAATTTGTCCAGAAAAAAATAAGTGGCTAGATGGCAAAACAGAGAGGGGTGGCAGAAGAAAGAGGTTACCATTAAATTTCTAACCAATTGTACTTTGAAATTTCTCGTTCTTTCTTTCTTTTAAAAGTTTCTCAGTGGTAAAATGAATATAAAATCATATTTGTGAAAAAAGATGATTTCATATATTGATAGAAAAACGCTCAATATAAATTTTATAAAGTGCAAATAATAACTTGATTCAGATCTTATTTCAAAATTAAACCTAATTATTATTGTAATTAATCCTCCGTTTTAATGTAACTTCAGCTCATTCTAAAATGGGGAAATAGGTTACAACTTACCAATGGACAAATGCTCGCTTGGCATACAGAAGATCGAACTTATGATCAAGTCTGGCCCAGGCTTCTGCGACCGCTGTCGTGTTGGCCATCATGCAAACCGACCTCTGAACTTTGGCTAGATCACCACCGGGCACAACAGTCGGGGGCTGGTAGTTGATGCCCACTTTAAAGCCGGTGGGGCACCACTCCACAAACTGGATGGTCCGCTTTGTCTTGATGGTGGCGATTGCCGCATTCACGTCCTTGGGCACAACATCGCCACGGTACAGCAGGCAGCACGACATGTACTTTCCATGACGGGGATCGCATTTCACCATCTGGTTGGCCGGCTCAAAGCACGCGTTGGTGATGTCGGCAACACTGATGGCCTCGTGGTAGGCTTTCTCCGCGGACACGATTGGGGCGCAGATAAGCAGGGGGAAATGGATTCTGGGATAAGGCACCAGGTTTGTCTGAAACTCCATAAGATCGACGTTCACGGCGCCGTCGAATCGAAGGGAGGCCGTCAGAGAAGAAACCGCCTGTCCCAGCAGACGATTCAGATTGGTGTAAGTGGGACGCTCGATGTCCAGGTTGCGACGGCAGATATCGTACAGTGCCTCGTTGTCGACCAGGAAGGCGCAGTCAGAGTGTTCAAGAGTCGTGTGGGTGACCAGCAGGGAGTTGTACGGCTCTACCACAGCGGTGCAGATCTGTGGGGCCGGGTAGACGCAGAACTCGAGTTTCGTCTTTTTCCCGTAGTCGATGGAGAGGCGCTCCATGAGGAGTGACGTGAATCCCGAGCCGGTGCCGCCGCCAAAGCTGTGGTACGCAAAGAACCCTTGGAGGCCGGTGCACTGATCGGCCATTTTTCGAATTCTGTCCAAGACAAGGTCGACGACCTCTTTGCCAACAGTGTAGTGGCCGCGGGCATAGTTGTTGGCAGCGTCTTCTTTTCCTAGAAAATAAAATGAATTTGATATAACAATGTGTCACTTGTCGTGCTAAAATAGAACTCTTTTAGAAATTAAACAAAATATTTTTTAAAGTTTGTAATTCAGAACATATTTTTTAAAATCATAGATTAATTGAAAATAATGGTGGTATTTGATAACCCGTTCTAGCATCTTAATATAAAATTCTAATAACAATTGAAATTTCAGTTATAAGTGAGAAAAGAAAAATAACCACTATTTCAATAAAACTCTTCCCAATGGCCGTAGGCAGATTGTACCTCAACTTTTACATAAGCCGTAAGCAGGTTGTACCTCAACTACCACATGGGCTGGTAGAAGATTGTACCTCAACTACCACATAGGCCGTAAGCAGGTTGTATCTTAACTACCACATAGGCCGTAAAGGTTGTACCTCAACTACCTCATAGGCCATAAGCAGGTTGTACCTCAACTACGACATAGGCTGTTAGAAGGTTGAACCTCAACTACCACATAGGCCGTAAGCAGGTTTTACCTCAACTACCACATAGGCCGTAAGCAGGTTTTACCTCAACTACCACATAGGCTGTTAGAAGGTTGTACCTAAACTACCACATAGGCCGTAAGCAGGTTGTATCTTAACTATCACATAGGCCGTAATCAGTTTGTACCTCAACTACCACAATGGCCGTAAGCAGGTTGTATCTTAACTATCACATAGGCCGTAATCAGTTTGTACCTCAACTACCACAATGGCCGTAAGCAGGTTGTATCTTAACTACCACATAGGCCATAAGCAGGTTGTACCTCAACTACCACATAGGCCGTAAGCAGGTTGTACCTCAACTACCACATAGGCCGTAAGCAGGATGTACCTCAACTACCACATAGGCCGTAAGCAGGTTGTCATTTAATCACCACATGCCGTAAGCAGACTGTACCTTAACTTCCACAAAAGCCGTAAGCAGGTTGTACCTCAACTACCACAATGGCCGTAAGCAGGTTGTCCTTGAATCACCACAAAGGCCGTAAGCAGGTTGTACCTCAACTACCACATAGGCTGTAAGCAGGCTGTACCTCAACTACAACTTATGCGTTGTATGACTGAACAATTTCAGCACTGTGCACAACAACAAAACAAAGAATTCCTTGCACCTCAACAATCTCTAACTTTAAAATAACTTTTTTTCCTCTCTTTGAATAGACTGCTAACTATATTAAGATAAATAAATACATGCATACATAAATTAACAGCTCAATGACATTATCGCTGCGGAAGTTGTATTCGTTTTCGCTCTCATAGTCGTATTCGTAGTTGTAATCGGATATTTGGTCAAAGTTTTGGATTAACATATTTTCAAAAAAATGCAATTAATGCCAAGATTTAATTACCATTTATTCTAATCAGTTGAGTCCAAGTGTGTTGCCATTCGTAGATAAGTTTTAAAAAAAAAAACTAAAATAATTTAGACTTGTTATCCTCAAATTAAAATATATTTTTTAAGGCCGGATCTATTTTACGCACTAAAAAAATATTCACAATGAATAGTTCAGTTGTTAAACTAATGACATTTTTTCCAGCTTAACTAAGTCATTAGTTGAGACAGTCTTATGTCAACTTAAAATGACCCACCTGATATCAACTGCTCCGGGTGAAACAGCTGTCTGTACGTGCCGGTTCTGACCTCGTCAATGACAGTAGGCTCCAGGTCCAAAAAGAGCGCCCTTGGGACGTGCTTTCCCGCCCCAGTCTCCGAGAAGAAGGTGTTGAACGAGTCGTCCCCACCACCTATCGTCTTGTCTGACGGAATCAGGCCATCCGGCTGTATCCCGTGCTCCAGACAGAAGAGCTCCCAGCAGGCGTTTCCTATCTGGCACCCACACTGGCCGATGTGAATGTTGATCACTTCCCTCATTTTAGAATGCTGTTCAAATTCTTTCCTACAGTGACTAAGCTATCCCGCTAACTTACTTACTGGTTCTTGATATGCTTCTTACTTATCCTGTTTCACGTGACCGATGGAAAACTAGACCAAGATGGAGTTTTGGTTGAAGAGCCGCGCGGCCGCAATGGTAGACTATATGCAACACTTCCCTATCCCAAACCCTGTGTTCTCCTAGCTATACAAACAAATTCTTTGATGCCAACGCAACGAGTGTTGACGTCATTTCGATGACTTTACCAACAAGTTACCCAAGTTCTGTTAGAGAGTATTTAAATTCATTTCGATAGCTGTCATGGACATTCGTATGCATAGCCAAAACTTTTGGCAAAGCAATTCATATACTCAATCATATCAAAGCCAATGTTCAGAAGCACTTGTCCCAATGTAAAAAGTAATAAGAAAGAATTATTTAAAACTAATTTTCTACGACAAATATTTAAAAACATTTTATCTCCAGAAAATTGATTTCTTAAGAAATATATATTGCTCATCTTTAAGGTCTTTGCCCCCACAAGTATTTTTTAAATAGTTTTTAAAATAAATGAGGTCATGTAGGCTCTACTGTTTGTTATGCTATCGTAGGCCACAATTTACGCTGCCATTTGTTTAACTGTATAGATTAGGCATATTAACTTCTCTCTCAAATGATAATTTACTAAAAACTAAATTTGTTTTTCAATTTATTGTTGGCTACATCAGAATAAATTTATCTAGAGGTAAGGAAGCTATTCAATTAAACTTGTCAACAAAAACAATATCTACTGAAGGTAAAAGAAATGGTCATATTATTATAGATTTTAAAGCGCTGATTTCCAAATATGAAGTCAGAATCTGGTCAAAACGACTAGATTTTCAAATGTGCATGCATACACAAAACGGATAAAGAGTATTAATATAGATACTTATTACATAAAAACGTTTAAAAAAATCTTCTATGTTCCAGTATCGCTGTGAGCAAACGATTGCTGAAATTGAGTTTGTGAATGCGTTCTTGGCCGTGGAGGCTATGTGGCTGTGTTGTTGCGCAATGTTAACGAAAACTCGATTTGAGCCTCAAAGAAGCCTATGAATGGAATCAATATCATTTTGAAAGTCATCAACTGGTCAGAGCAGAAATGGAATGTCCAAAGGGTCTGCAGTTGGGTCTCACAAACATTCGGTGCTTTTTGCTTGTGAAACAGTCGTGATGACAGCAACCATTGCGAAGTGAGACAGTCGTGATGACATCAACCATTACAAAGTAAAACAGTCATGAAGACAGCAACCATTACAAAGTGAGACAGTCGTGATGACAGCAACCATTACAAAGTGAGACAGTCGTGATGACAAGAACCATTACAAAGTTAAACAGTCGTGATGACAACAACCATTACAAAGTGAGACAGTCGTGATGACAGGAACCGTTACAAAGTGAAACAGTCATATTGACAGCAACCATTACAAGTAAAACAGTAGTGATGACAGCAACCATTACATTGTGAGACAGTCATGATGACAGCAACCATTACAAATTAAACAGTCGTGATGACAGCAACCATTACAAATTGAAGCAGTGGCCTCCTTGATCTGAGAGCATTATTTGTCGGCACAAGAGATATTTCAAGACAGTGAACTGACCTTGGAAACAATGTGTCAAGGCCACCGCAATTCAAACACTGAAATAGTTTTAACTTAAAAATCCCCAAAATCTGAAGTTTCTTGGTATGCTGAACAAAAATATAACCCTGAAATAATTGTATTGGCTTTCGTTTAAAATATATTTAAAAGATTTCATTTGATATGTTTCAACGTGCAGTGGGACTGGAACAACTGCCTAAATAAGCAGAATGATCTCTTGGTTCATTTGATGAGGACGAGGGTGAGCCCACCTGTTCTCCTGTTTCATCAGCAAGCATAATATTTAGATTTCCACCTTTGTGCGTTATAAGAAACATATAGATTAACACAGGAAGAACTATATGACCTGGTTCGTGATTTAGACATATACAAGAACAAGACTGAAAAGAGAGGAAAGTAATCTGGTAATCTGTTTTGATTTTGAGGGTTTCAAGAATGCCTTAAAAGCACCAATGACCAGCAAGAATGGAAATAATTTATAGACTCTTGGAAACTGAGTCTTAAGGCAGTGATTTAGCACGATGGAAACCGTCTTCTATTTATCACTGTAGCGCATTCTGTCCATATTAAAGATAAGTTAAATCTCATTGAATATAACACGTTCAGCTGGAACCTCTGTGGTGATTTAAAGGTAGTTGCCATTTTAATAGGACAGCAGCGGGGTTATACAAAATACATGTGTTTCCTATGTGAGTGGGATAGCCGAGCAAGGGGTTTGCATTACTTGCGGAAGGAATGGACTCGCAGACAAAATGTAGAAGTTGGACAGAGGAATACCCAGCTCTGGTTTAGGCTAAAAAAATCCTGCAATCATTCCTTCACGACAAACTAGGTTTGATGAAGACCTTCGTTACAGTCACAGGCCAGACTTCGCCAGCTTTCCGCTACCTGCATGAAAAAATCCCTCGACTGAGCGAAGCGAAGATTAAAGAGGGACTTTTGGTGGGTCCACAGATTCGAACGCACTTAGAAGATGACGGGTTCAACAACTTGCTGCAGGGTGATGCGAAACAAGCATGGAATGGTTTACGCCTAGTGTCTACAAACTTTCTCGGTAATGTGAGGACATACATCTACAAGGAACTAGATGAAGACATGGTGATGCAGTATCTGAAACTTTACTCCGATATCTCTCTAAAGATCCACTTCCTTCATTCCTATCTGGATTTCTTTCCTGACAATTGTGGTATGGTTAGTGATAAGCATGTAGAACGTTTATATATATATATAAATCGCAACAATGGAACCAAGATACTAGGGAAAATTGTCCACTACAATCACGGCGTATTATTACTGGTCACAGTGGTCCATTTCAATGCTGGCTGATTACTTCTGGACACAATGGTCCACTACAAAGCTGGTTGCCTACTGCTGGTTGCCTACTGATGGTGGCCTACTGATGGTTGACTACTGTTGGCTGAATATTGCTGACTGAGTACCGCTGGCTGACTACTGCTGACTTACAGCTGTTGGCTGACAACTGCTGGACACTGCCCAGAGATGCCCTCAAGCAGGTGTACAGGAGACGGGCCAAGAAATCTAACAAGTAGTTTATGAGTTGATTGTTTTACATGTATAACCGTAGGCCTATTACTGTTGGCATGCATTTTACGTTTTAAACATTAATTTATTGCAGATTACAACAACAACAACGAAAAATAATTTTAAAAAACTTGAGCCAATTTTGCAATCTGACTCTTATATTCGTGTTGAGTACATAAACATTGATAATAATTGACTTATTTTATTTCAGCAACATAATTTTTGTATAAATGTGTTAACGGGTGTCACTAGTGGTTGTCAACAGCCAGCAAGCGCGGGATAAAATTCCTACAATAATATTGAACTGACGATTGAGACACAATTGGGAAATATTTGCTTCAATCGGAATACATACATGTATAACTATTAGATTTAAGTAGTAGATACAGATGCCGAAATGTAAATAGAGATACAACTTTAGGGCTTTGTACTAGGGTAGGTAAATAGATAATATATATCTTTGGGCTTACTCTGGTTCAGTTTTTACTCCCGGGTCTGGTTCGAGTATTTTGAGACAACACCCGGTGGGTCTGTAACAGGGTCGGTTTGTTACAAAAATGAGAGTTATTTTCTCATTTTCTATGTGTTCCAACCAATAGCGAGAAGTGATAAGTGCATGTATATAACAAATAGAGAGAAGTTATAATTGCATGTATATAATCAATGGAAAGAAGTGAAAAGTGCATGACATGTATATAACCAAAGGAGAGAAGTGATAAGTGCATGTGTAGAGCCAATAGAGAGAAGTGACAAGTGCATGTATATAACCAATGGAAAGTAGTGACAAGTCCATTACATGTATATAACCAAGGAGAGAAGTGATAAGTGCATGTATACAACCAATAGAGAGAAGTGATAAGTAAATGCATAGAACCAGTAGAGTAATTAAAGGCTCCAAGCCACAAGTAGCTCTATAAAATAATGATAACCCAGCGGTTCTTAAACTTTATAGTACCGCGACACCCTTATAACATTTCCATTATGTGGCGACCGACTACCAGAAGTATATTTTGGAACTGAAAAACAGGTGTTGAGAAGCGGGTAGAGACTTTTTGGTAGATCAAAAGCTTTGGTAAAGTAATTTTAATCGGCGGTAGAGCGAAGCATAAATAATGGCTGAGAAGGGTGGTTGGTTGTGTTCGGGGGTTCTGTAAGTCAATCCCTTGAAATTGTTTGATAAATTCATACACCTGGTTATAGTTTTGTGCGGACGATGTCAATTTATAAGTTGATGGCCAACTTTTAAGTTTATGTGTAGGATTTTTAAAAAGCTAGGAAAAAAACGAACTCAATTTATTTATAATGAAGCATGTTGTCGTGGTCTGTTACACTTCATTCTTCCACACAGACGAATATTGTAGTATCTAATGCTTCACATAGTTGTTACAGACATGATGTAATGCAGACTTGATGTGTAAGTGTTAAATTATCATGCGTCGGTGCTACTGACAAGATGTATAGCTAGTGCGGATATAATGTTGAGGTCTTCCAGACATGATGTGGATGTCTTGAGACATCTGGTGTCGGTGTTGCCGACATGCTGTGCAGTTTTCTGGGTTTAATCATCAGGACAACAATTAAGTGTTGGCTGTTAAACAGAAATCGTGAATTATTAGCTTAATTGTATACAGCATTGTCACTTAGGACTTACTTGTATACAGCATTGTCACTTAGAACTTACTTGTATACAGCAGTGCCACTGACAACTTACTTGTATACAGCAGTGTCACTGAAAACTTACTTGTATACAGCAGTGTCACTGACAACTTACTTGTATACAAGTGTCACTGAGAACTTACTTCTATACAACAGTGTCACTGAGAACTTACTTGTATACAGCAGTGTCACTGAGAACTTACTTGTATACATCAGTGTCACCGAGAACTTACTTGTATACAGCAGTGTCACTGAGAACTTACTTGTATACATCAGTGTCACTGAGAACTTACTTGTATACAGCAGTGTCACTGAGAACTTACTTGTATACAGCAGAGTCACTGAGAACTTACTTTTATACAGCAGTGTCACTGAGAACTTACTTG